GGTATCCTGTTTGGCCGTGCACCAGGGGATCTCGGTAGCCATGGGGCTTTCACCAAGCCTGTGGACGAGAAGCTTCCCATGGCCCTGCCTCAGGGAGAAGCCACCAGGCGTTAATTGTACAGTGGGCTGGTGTTCCCATTAGTTGGGAGAGCTCGCGACAATCTCTAGTCAGCCTAAGTACAGCAGAGTCTGAGCTCATAGCCGTAGTTTCGGGGGCTCAAATGGGCGGCGCAGTAGCGGCTTTGGTGAGTGAAATCTTGGGTTTTGAACCTGAGGTTCAACTGTTAGGCGACAACCAATTGAGCATGTATTGCCATAGTGTCAGGGCCTCCGACATCCTGGCGAAGTAGGCACTTGAGACTCAGAGCAGCCGCCTTGGGGGAGCGCCTGGATAAAGGCAAGTGGTCTCTTGCACATCTTCCTGGCCATCTGTTGCCGGCGGATCTTCTTACGAAAGCCCTGGGAGCCTCAAAGTTTCAATCGCTTCTACCACTTTGTGGGGTTTATGTGCCGAAGCCGAGGGTTAGTAAGGTTGCTAATTTGTGTAAGCCCGTTGCCTTTTGGAAGACAGTTGGCATCTTGCTTCTTGCCTTGTGCGTTTCTCAACTCCTGAAGGGCCAAGACTCAGCATCTCAGTCTGAAGACGGGTCAGCCTGGCTGATTTTCTTGGTGATAGGTGTCGCGTTGGCCTGGGAGGGGTTTAAGTCGGCGTCCTCAGCTTGCGTTCGCGCAGTGCGTTGTAGGTGTAGAGCCACTGGGATTCAAGCCCCCGAGGTTGCCTGTCAAACTGACCCATTGCCTTTAGCACCTCCACCTCAGCCCCGTGTCGTGCAGGTTCCCCAACCCATTCCTGAAGGTCTGGAAGCATATTTTACATCCACTGGTGCGAGATGGCACCAAGACTATAATTGCGGAGACATAAGGAATCGGATCGCTCGTCGTTTTTTGCCATGCGAACGCTGTACGGCTAATCATATCATGCTTCAGCCTCCAGATCAGCCTCTTCCGCTTGCGCAACAAGCGCCACCTCCTCCCCAGGTAAGGAGAAGACGTCCAAAAGGGTAAGGGACAGTTGAAATCACGTATCAAGGACGTGTAGGTAACGTTATCGCCCAGTTTCTCCGTTGGAAGTTCTGTCAAAGGGTCAGTTAGTATAGTAGGGTACGTCTTAAGTCGTTTTTACCCTAATCCCATTTTGCATCAGCCTGCAATCAGCCTTTGTTGGACCCGGGTCATTCATTCGCTTGCCCATACCCAAATTCTGGGGCATTTAGAGGGTTAAGCTCCGTTGTTGATTGTTTGTTTTGGTCAGAGGGTCTTGAGCCACTTGAGTGTTGAAGAGGGGAGGCGCCCTGAAGGGACCAACCTTCCAGCCTCAAGGAGAATCCTGGGGTTTCAGCAAATGGCTGAAGGGGGAGTGTGACGCCAGTAGAGTGTCATGTTCTCCAAGCAAGCTGTTCGACTTCCGTAGACCCTTTTTCGTACTCAACGCTTTCAAGAAAAAAGAGGCGTAGTCACTGGTGCAGCTCTCATTGCTTTGTCACGTTAGAGTTGCCTAGACAGATCCTTATCTTCTACCACATCCTCTCATAACCAAAAGCTACTCGGGATTGTTTTCGCCGAACGGTTGCTCCGGCATTAAAACCCTAAATCGGATAGACCTTAGGAATCACAGTGTATTGGCGATCCGAAGAGATGCAAGAACTCGGCTGAACCCTAAGCCCTACACCCCAAACCCTCAACCCCAAATCAAATCTTGAAGTCTTGAATGCCTGCTTACAAACAACAAACCAAGTCAACTCAACCGTCCCAGAAATGCGCTCCTGCGAAAACAATACGCTCTACATTTGTAATTGTAAGCTCTGGGCACCTACAGACAGCCCAACAAAATGAGCCTGGAGAATCTTGCCCGCTGCATAATTAAACCTCTCAACATGAGTTGGCCTATCTTTCCTGATGGCTTGAAAAGCACGGGCTCCCAAATCCGAGGAGCGTCCTTCTGTCACAATTGCATATCGGTCAAGTTCGCTGTCCCAAAACAGACGCCCCGATAAGACAGGCATGGCTTCATCCGTTGCGTACACCCTCCGACAAGCCAGAACCTGTACCTGTAACCCAAATTACCTAGCTGGATTGTACTCCTTACTCTTCAGTTTCTCAATATGACACAAAAAATCGATAAGGTTTCCAGGTACGCAATGCTTCCGTCCGAAAGGCTACCGGCTTGCTCAGTCCCAAAACAAGGATAGTCACATGGCCACATGTTTAAGGACAGTAGCTTGTGTCTACGCCCTTCGAGGGTGCCATGTTAATTTTGGGGGGTAAAGACGACTACAGCAACAGCTGTGACATTCGCTTCCAGTGACGACTGGCTCCATAAATTCAATGCCGCGCATCTGCAAAACATGGATGGCCTCTTCAAGGGCACGAAGCCCGACTTGAAGCCGACATGCTTTCGAAACCTGAGGATAATCTTCTTGGAGCCACGTACATTAAACAAAGAAGGCACCTGGCAGATGAAAGAATAATATGCTTCAAACTACTCCGGCTTCTATGAAGGAGAATTCAACATGCAGACGAATCTTCGGTCAAAGCTTGCAGAAGAAGATGAAGATGATGCAACAGAAGAGAGGGTAAACTCGCCTCCTCCATTGTCCAGGCGCATTCATAAAAAGGAACCCACCGCCAGCCCTCAATACTCCCGAATGCACAGGGGTCGAAAGTCATCACCAAACCCCGAACAAGCCCTGCTGCAAGACAGTGATGGGGGTTTCTCAAAGCAGGCTGTCATTCAGGACTGTAGAGATATGTCTCGATTTTTGCTGAGAAACGCCCAAATGATAGGCCCCATGCTTTCAGAGCTGTTCGCTAGGAAAAACACACTAGGGCGAGCTGCGCAACCGCTGACATGGGTGAAAAGATCGGAAAGCCCGCAACTTACCAGCAGGAAATGAAGCAGTGACTTACAAAGATTATTCTAAAGGATTATTCAAGAACTACTATGTGCTTTCCTTCCGCCACTGCCTACTAACAACCTACATGTATCGGGCCTGTTCAGAGTGTCCATTCCTTGGCCCCTTCCTTCAGGCGAGTCTTCCACGAAGGGTTGTTCAGCATGCTCAAACACCGCTTGCTTCTATAAAGGCTGGTCTGCCTATGTTAGCACTTGCGATAATCACAGTGATAATTGTTGCAAAGTGGTAGCCGCAAAGCATGAAGGTTTGGGAGAACTGTCCGTAAAAGCAAAAACGACAAGAGTTCACAGCAGTTGACAAATGTTGGAAGAGCTACATTCCTCCAAAATAAAACGGATCCCCATACGGGCTGTTTCTTAAACCGACCGTCGTTAGTCTTTGTAGGACCCCCTTGGGCTTCCATGGTGGGTTTGAGGAGGGCAGGAGTCATAGCCGCTGTCATAAACCATACGCCACAACCCTAAACGGTCTAAGGTCTTTGGTTGAAGGTTCATGGCTGAAGATGTAGGGTCTAATGTTTGGAAAACAGACCAAAGACCCACACTCTAAGCCCATCCTGGCAAGAAAGCCTACAAAATCTAAGACATCACTTGCTGGAAATCATTTACTTCTTGCTAGTTAGTGCCCCTTACAACCAATTACAAAAACCATCCACCTCGTCTCCTCACCCAGCGAATACAAGTAGGCTAGTGCGAATGGTAGCAGCAGTTATTACAAGAAGCCGATGCCAACTGCGCATGCTAACAATCCCCTTCGTGACGTAAATCTCACTGGGTGATAATGTCAACTCTCAGTAGATGCCCAGCCCGGTGCTCTCGGCGGCCACCTGCATGTGAGCTTCAGAAGCCAAGCTGGATAGGGTTAAGGATTTTTGGAGCTTGGCGATGTTTAAAGGTGTGTCTAAAAAAGTTGAGAGTTCAGTTGAGCATGGAATTACTAACATAAATCACCTTCCCCCGAACACCTGCCACTATGGCCTCCCCTCAGTACGGTCAGTAAGCCTTTTGCATAAGAGGACTTGAAGAACATCCTGTCATGTCGTTGTTGTCATATTCTTGGGGGGTTGTCTTCAGGAAAACATACAGGGGCGGGAGAGGCCGATCCAGGGGTCCACGCGAGCTACAGTCACTATTGCCCATGAACCCTTGTTAGGCAACGTATGAAGGACTATACTAAGCTACAAAAGGAGACCCCTATGTCCACCCTTGAGGTTCTCTTGGTACGTGCAAGGTGATGGCACTAGGGTAAACTTTACAACTTTACAAGGGCTCAGGGCTTAGGCTACCTCATGGCTTTAGGGTTTAGATTTTACGGCTTAGGAAGGTTTCATCTTGCTGCGGTCCATTCGGCGCCCGCTGCCGAAGGGCCTCTCAGGGTTTAGCTTTCAAGTCTCCAGCCACAACCTGTGGCTGTAGGTTTTAGGATTTAGGCATATTCAGATTTTAGGGTTCAAGGCGCGTAAATGATGATAGTCATCCTTCCAGCGTGAGCAGCAACAATGGCCCTATGAGACGTAAAATGGTCTTCACTCACACTCATGATGTGTCAGCATACACGACAGCATCATTGACAACAAGACTGAATATGGCAAGGATACAGGTTACACAATAGTTCTCAAAGCCCGTTCTACAGTTGGATGCAGGAAGCACGAAGCCACCAATCTTCTTGAGCATGAAACCGTGAACTTCAATCCCAAATCTTAAACCCCTTTCCTGCGTTCGTTTCCCTGACTGAAAGGAATGTTCAATACTAGGGGGTCAGGGAGTGTTTGGTATCAGAGGGAGGGCATTATTGGCAGTCAGTCGACTCTTTGTTCGTCTCACAATGAGCGCTCGCACCATGCTTCTGGGGATCTACAAAGCTTCCAAAATACTAGACCCATCATTCGAAATCTGAAAGCCAGTCCCCTAGCTGATCTCGTATCATACAGAAAGACCCCCCATAACAGCATAACTGTCACTAACAGCATAACTGTCACATCCCTAGAAACACCAAACTAGTGGGCGAAGGGAAAATTCGGGGCAGTCACCAATCCGTGGCAACCTTCACCCGCTCGACTTTGGGTACATTTGCATGTCCGTACGGGCAATGCCTGCAACCGAAGCCGCAACAGGGCCTCTTCTTGAGGTAGGTGGAGGTGAACACAGCATAGCCACTGGCAGGATCCTGATATTGGTATCTTCCTCTCATGGTGGCCATTCGATGCAGCATGGACCACGTAGCTTGCGAACGCTTCTCTGGCGCAAGGTGCTGCAGTGCCGCGAGCGCCTGAGTAGCTCGTGGGTCGCCGGCATCTGCGCTACGTCTCACTTCCTCTAGAGACAAGGGCTCCATGTCGTCCCAAGCGGGTACGCCGGCATCAGCAAGACATACGGGGACGGGAGAGGCTGTGGTCGAGTTTTTGATTTTGCCCATGGCTGATGCCCACAGCTCCCTGTGAGGTAGCATCCAGGCGTAGGCTCTTGTTTCTATGTCATCCGTGCTCTCTGAGTTCGTCCAGGCGAGCACCCCACTGTCTAGCACCACTAAGCCATTCCCACACACTGGCTCGCCAAGCTTTGGCAAAGACAGCCACTCGCGCGTACGAAGAAGGAACATGCCCGCCTCTGCCAGTGAGCGGTCTTTTGCCTGACCGCCGGTGATTAGCAGCGCATCTCCAAGAACAGCAGCCGCATGACTCAGACGAGGTCTCACGACAGTGCTGTCATCGGAGAGCTTCTCCCACACCCAACGCTGAACTGGCTTGCGCCAGGACAGAAGCCACAAATCTCCCAGCTCACCGCACTCTCCGCGGCCCCCATGCACAAGCATCCCCTCTGAGCCCCATGCACAAGCCACGTGACGTGCTCGTGGGCAGGGACCAGGATCGCACTGTACTTTCTCCCAACACCAAGTGACAAGATCGAGAACGTGAACATCTGCTAGGTATGCTTCGCCGTCTGAGCCTCCAAAAATCACAGCGCGGGACCCTCTCTCATCAATGACCAAACTGGCGTCTTTGCGGGCTTTTGGCTCTGGCCCTGTAGTGCTCCCGTGGGTCCAGCAAAAGGTCTCCAGATGCAAGAGCTCCAACTGCCCAAGGACCTGCCCGCTTCTCGCGCACTGGCCGCCAAACACAAAGAGAATGTGCCCCCATCGAGCTGCAGAGTGACAAGCTCGCGGTGTTGGCACAGTCTCGCCGCTGACTTTGGAACAAACCTGCTGCTGCCAAGCCACCCCACTGGATGATAGCTTCCCGCGCCAGACGTCGCAGTAGCCTGGATCGTTACCAGCGTAAAGAATCCCTATAAAACCCCAGCTTCCATGTCATTGCACATTTTTTTCTATCGGGCTCTCCCTTTTGGTAGCTGAACCCTAAACCCGACCTCCAAATCCATAATTCAAGAACAAATAGATTGCTACGTGACTCTGGTATAACCTCATATCAAATCATGTTAATCATATGGCCCCTAATTACCAGCAGCCCAGTCACGTGGCCCGGAGAGCTGCAGCAACAGGAGCTCATCATCCAACATCCCAGGCAGCGCGGTGTATGACCCAGAAAACGGCGCATCTCCTTCCTGGGTTCTTGTTGGAATATTATCCTGGGTTCTTGTTGAAATACTATCAAAATTAAATGAGTAGGGTTTAGGGTTTAGGGTTTTAGGGTTAAAAATGAGCATTTTTAATCTATCTTGGGCCCAGGTATACATAAAATTGTGAAATGCTGTTCAAGAAGAACCCAGCTTCGACCCAGTCTACTCTCCGCCAAGTTGCTGCGGTGCGCGCTGCACGCAGCTGGGCAAACTGCGAAGCCTCAAAATCAGGGTCGAAGTCTGGGAACACAGGCAACCAGTCCACACCATCGCATCCTCTATGCAGCTGCAATGCATCCCGAGCGTGAGAAAATGGCAAACAGCCGGGGTGTATCAGACTGGCTAACTGCTCGATGCCATCAACAATCCGTGGCCCTGGACGGGAGAAACAGGCATGCCCAACAACATAGAATCTCGTAGGGTTCTGCTGCATGGCTGGCAGCTTCCAGAAGCCTGGCTTAGACACCAAATGATTCACCACGTCCTCGGCCGCCTCGGCGGCAATTCTGCCGCAGCAAGACACGATGATCACGTCCGCGTTACAGCTTGCAACCTCTTCCCAGGACAGTCGCCTATCATGGGTTCCCCTACTAACCCCCTCTATACTAGCCCCCCTAGGTTCCCCCCCTTAACTAAGGCTATTTGGGATAACTAAGCCTAATTAAGGTTAACTAAGGGGGAACCTAGAAGAGGTAGTATAGAGGAGGGTAGTAAGGAAACCCAAGAGCCTAGGCTTTGCGCCAGGTGTGTCTTCCAGCGCATCCCATCCCCCTGCACGCTGCCTCGGAGGGTTCACGCGGACTAAGGAAGTATACCTAACCCCTGTCAGCCTTCTAATATACCCAGCTACCCCCATCAACTCCTAATCAATTTCCCGTGACCCGAAACCCTAGACTCTAGACCGTAGACCTTCAGCAGTTTGAAATATGGTAGTTTCCTCTTTCGTTTCAATTCAAACCCTAACCCCAAATCCTGTTTGGATATCACTAAAAACCCCTTAAAGGGACCTAACTCTATACAGTTAAACCCTAAACCCTAAACTCTGAACCTTAAACCCTAAACCCCCAACTTTTAGGTAGTTTCCATGCTCTCCTCTTCCATCCACCAAGAACCCTCCAAGTGCCTCATGTCTGGCAGCCACTGCCCAGACGCCACGAGCGGGCAAACGCTCTCCAAGCCTCGGGTTGAGGATAAGGACAATAGGGTTCAGGGTTTAGGGTTTCAGAGTTTATGGTTCAGGGTTTAGGGTTCAGGGTTCAGGGTGTAGGCTTTATGTTATATATAGGGTTTAGGGTTTAGTCCAAATGGATACGACCTTTAGGGTTAGGATGGAAGGAAAAGAAAATGGAAATCAGGGATCCTGAGGTCCCTTTAACGCGGTTGTAGGGATACATAGGTTTTAGGGTTTAGGGTTTAGGGTTTAGGGTTTAGGGTTTTTTGGAGCTCTCGGGCATGGAAAAAAACATCTAAATTACCGTATTGTTCAGGCTTTAAGCTACTATTTGATTTGGGGTTTTGGAGTTTTGGGGAATGGAAAAGAACATGAAAATTACCAGCTCGCTTAGGGTTTAGGACCATGATACTGGGTCCTTTTTGAAGTGTTAGACATACATAAACCCTATATAATCTTTTCTTAGGCCCCTTGAAAGGGAACCTTGTATGGTAGCTTGGCTTATGTTCCGTATGGGCAACCCAGAGCCTCTTGAACTGCGGCTGCCCATTTTAACGAACCTAAGGAAATACAAAGTATGGTTCAAGGTTTAGGGCTTAGGATGTAGGGCTTAGAGTTTAGGATTTAGGGTGTAGGAACTTAAGCAAATGAGAATTTACTTTAAATCGTTGAGAGAGACCCAGACAGGAACACCCCAAGCCCTAAACCCTAAACCCAAACCCCTAAAGCCTATAGACCCGTAATCCTAAATCATGAATTCCTTACATCTCTTAAACAGCGACCCAGCAGCCCAGTACCCGGGGAACGCCGAGGTCCTTCACCGCTTGGCCCACGCAGTCCAAGCGTTGCTGAAGGTCCTGCTTGGAGGTTCAAGGTCATATGTCCCGTCACAGGAGTTATAGGGGTTATATAGGGGTTGTACACAAATCATGTACGGGCTAAATAGGGGTTATGTAGAGATAAATGGATGTTCTATACGGGTTAATAGGGTTTAGGTCCTAGGATTTAGGGTTTGGAGGTTAGAGGCCGGGGCTTTGGGGTGGATGGAACGAATCATGCACCACCTTACAAACCCTACACCCCAAGAATTAAGGTAATTGTGTTCCTCCATCCGCGGTAGTACCCAATGCATAGGGGCTCGTAATCGGATTGGAATTGGGTTACGCGCGGAAACAGACAAAAGTTCCCATATATTACGCCCCCTAGTTTCTCCCTTGGTCCAAGTTATTTGGAGAAACCATAAGTTCCGAAACCCCATACTCTATAAAAGTACAACTATAGGCAGGTAATTATCCTGAACCTCCAGGGTCCTTTCTGACAGACGCTGCCGCCGTCTGCTCTCCAATGACTTGGCCAATGGTCTCAATAGTGTCAAGAATCCTGGGTTCTTGCTGAAATACTACTAGACGGTGAGCATGGTCAATCTATGTTGGGCCCAGGTATACATAAATATGTAAAATGTTGTTCAACAAGAACCCGGAATCTCATGAACTGTGCTCGCACCCACCTGGGTTCGGTTCAGAACAGGTCTTCAACGCCCCTAAACCCTAAACAGGCCCTAAAGCTTCAACCCCTAAAACCCCCTAAAGCTCCCTGAAGTTCCTAAAGCTCCTCCAAGTACCAAGCCACACAGATTGACCTCTGAGGCTCCAGGTTGGCAGCTGCCAGGGCGCGACCCAAGGCCGAAGCACTGGCGTCGCAGGTAGGGCAGCTCTCCTTCAACTCAAACTTAGGGTTTGGGGTTTAAGGTTTTTGGAGTAGGGTTTTGGGTTTGGGCTCAAGGTTTTGAATTGGGGTTTGGGGTTTGGGGTTAGGGTTTTGGGTTTGGGGTTTAGGATTTAGTGTTTGGGCTCTTGGCTTTTACTCAAATGCGTGTTGGGGTTTTAGGGTTGACGGCTTGGGGGTTGAGGGTATGGGGTTTAAGGATTAAGCCTTGGGGTTTAGGGTTTAGGGATTGGGGTTTAGGGTTAGGGGTTAAGGATTCAGGGCGAAGGGTCGAGGGATAGGAGTGTAGAGGTCTGTGTAGTGTCACGTAGGGACTACATAGGGGTTATGTAGGGGCTACATGCGCCATAGTCTAAACACGTAGTATCCCCCTTAGTAAGCCCTATACTACTCCCCTATATAATCCCCTACATAACCCCCCGTTTAAGAGTTTAGACTGTAGCTCACATGCGTACCGGGGTTTTGCGGAGCTCTCCTGCGATAGGATCACGCCCGGGCGGGCAGAGCGCAACCAGTCCACATCAATAGGATGAAAGTCGGTGATGCCGGCTGCCAGTAGCCTCTTTAAGGGCTTTGGGGGTTTAGGGTTTAGGGTTTAGGCTTACAGCGCCTCGTTTACACCTGCGTTTTGGGGTTTTGGATTGAGGGTGTAGGGCTTAGGGTTCAGGGTTAGGGATTGGGTGTTGTACTCCCAGATCAATAAGAATACCTGTAACCGAAAGCCTCAAACCCAATGTTGAAATCACAAATTTCCTTTCCAGACCTTAGAAACCCCAGACCAGAACCCGAAACCAAACAGTTTAACAGGGAAGTTACGTGTGTTTGTCCACATCCTTGTATATTTGGCGAAAAACCAGCTGTGTAGTGATTTGAATCTTCTTCTCCTACACCCTAAACCCCAAAACTTCCAACCACTTAAGCCCAATCCCTGAATTCCAACCTCTAAAAGCCCTCGTCTCTAATTTATTCTCAGATAAACTCCACCGTGGGCCCAATTGCCATTTATTTTCCCTCTTTCTTGTTCATTGGATTCTCCATTATTTGCCGAAATCCTAGATGCTCCTAAATAACGCTTGCTAAACCCACTGAAGGTTTCAAATTCATTTTCCATTTTCTTTTCCACTTGAAACTCCCCAAACACTTAACCCTAAACCCTTAACCCTCAACCACGAGCCTTTGAACCTGCTCCTCCACGTCTACAGAGTTCCGGCCGTCAACTTGGACAAGGCTGCGCGTGGCCTTGCCTCCGAAGGGTTTAGCGTTAAGGGTTTAAGTTTGGGGTTCAGGTGTTGAAGGTTTTCTCGTTTAGTTGTTGAGGATTAGCAGTTTGGGGCTTTGGGACCAAGATGATGATGAAAAATCCACCTGTGCCAAAGTTGGAGAAGGGGCTTGGGTTACATTAAGCCACAACCATGAAATTGAATATAGCTCCTCACTGATCATTGAATGTCGGCGATTCTATGAAAAGATATTTCGGGTCAAGGCTCGGGTGTCTACTGCGAGGGGGTTCAAATGAGCATGCTGTAGAAATACATGGAACATAAAAACCTGAAGTTTGACTCAACAACCACCCAGCGGCGCAGCTGGAGAACCTCTGAGGGAAAGTCACAGTGTGCGCTGACAGCTACAAGGCGCTCAGCAGCCCCTGGATCAGACATTAGGGTTTAGCGTGTAGGGGTCTACGGGCCTAGGTGGGTGTATTCTGTAGAGTGTATAGGAATATATCACGTATACACCTAGATTCAAGGATGGTACCCCCATATTGGAGAATCAAATGAGCTATAGTCTAAACTCCTAGTATCCCCCTTAATAAGCCCTATAATATTCCCCTATATTATCCCCTATATAACCCCCCTTTAAGGAGTTTAGATTATGGCTCAAATGGAAAAGAAAATGGGGCAACGGTGTTGGGCCTGGGATGGAACACAAGGCTTCCGTGCCACTCGGCAGGAGAGACACCACGGTGAGGCAGCGCCGCGCTGCGGCCACCAACGCCTCTGCCAAGCCTGGGGAGGCGCGGAAGTGGACGTGGCAATAGGAAGCCACTGTGGAGTGGCAGAAGATGCCCTCTGGAACAAACTCCGCACCCGGGCGCTCCATGCGAGTTTGATAAGCTGCTAAACCCACTCCGCGCAATCCCATGCTTCGACCATCCGAATCCACCAGCTCGGCGGGCTCCCCGTTCAAGGTCACCTCCGAGCCAGGTAGGGCAGGTATGGGAGTAGTAAGAAACACGGTTAAGGGCTCAGGGTTCAGGGGTTATGCTGTATTGGGTTCATTGTTTGGGGTCATGATAATTATTATAAGCCACTTTGGGATGTTATCGGCTCAGAACTCGGGCTTTCCCCCACCTGGCCTCTGAGAAGTGATACTGCTGGCATCGGAACTCCACTTGCTTTGATAGTCGCAGCAGCTCAGCGACTGCAGGGGCAGGCCGTGAAGTGCAGTAGCCCATCACCATGCCTTGGTGTAGGGCTTAGGCTTTAGAAGTTTAACTTTGAGCTCCCTTTACATGAAATAGAGGAAACCCAACAGTTATAGGGCTTAGGATTTAGGGTTTAGGGGACAAAGTTGTAGTAACGTGCCACCAAGATGCGGTTGGTCATGGAGACGTCAAAAGGCAACACGCCAGCCATCTGAAATTGTTGCCGCCCGGCCTGGGTTAGTGCTAAGGAACTTAGACCAAGATACTTTAGGTTGGGCCCACAACCACAATAGTGACCACAAGAGGTACTGGTCATTATATTCGGGTCCTTATATATTCCTAGTATACCACGATTAGTGGGTGGGAGCCCAACCAAAAAAGATACTATAATAAGGAGATCCTACTATTAATTGTGTTCCTATATTATGGTAACTTAAATCGAGATACTACAATAAGGAAATCCTACTATTAATTGTATTCCTATATTATGGTAACTTCAATCAAGATTCTACAACAAGGAAATCCTATTACTGATTGTATTCCTATGTTGTGGTAGCTTAAATCAAGATACCATAATACGGAAATCCTATTACTCATTGTATTCCTATGTTATGGTAACTTCAATCAAGATTCTACGATAAGGAAATCCCATAACTGATTGTATTCCTGGTAACTTCAATCAAGATACCACAATAAGAAAATCCCATTACTAATCTTATTCCTACATTATGGTAACTTAAATGAAGATACTATAATCAGGAAATCCTACTATTCCTATATTATAGTAACTTAAATCAAGATACCATAATAAGGAAACCCAATTATTCATGATGTTCCCATATTCTGGTAACTTAAGCCGTAAACCTTAAACCCTACATGCCGATATTCTTGTAGCTCAAATACTAGATTCCCATACTATGTTAACTTCATTTAAGTTCCTTGACAGCTTAAACCCTAAACCCAACCCTACGTACTCTAAACCATAAACCATGGCATACACCATACATATACATATACATATATATACATGTATATATATATATACATATATGCATACCCTTATGTTAACTTAGTTTAAGTTCCTTAACCGTAACCCAGCAGCGGCATCTGGGAGGTCTTTGCCACGCACGGTCATGGTCTGCGCAAGGTACATCAGACCCCCACACTCCTAGATTGCTCTTCAGGAACTTAAGCTAGGATTTAGGGTTTAGGCTTCAAGGTTTAGGGTTTAGGGAGCTAAAATAGGATATAATAGGATGAGCACAACAAAAATACGAGGATCCCCTTACGATGGTGACTTAGTCTCGCCTCAACCCTTAAATCAGAGCCCTAAACCCTACACCCTAAACCCTAAACCCTAAACCTTGAAAGCAACCCAGGCTCTGCCCAGCAAAGACCGCCTTTCTTACAGAAGTCATGCACAGACGCGCGGAAGCTTGTGTTGCCTTCCAGCGTTGCACCGTGCAGCTCTGGATATCCACCTGAACGGGGTTCAGGGTTTAGGGCTTTAGGGTTTAGGGTTTAGGGCTTAGGGCTTAGGGTTTAGGATTTAGGGCTTCGGGGATCCAATTTTCTGGTTCCCAGCATGCTACGGTCTCTGAGGTATCGGAGATTCCAGAATCAGGAAGCCCCCTCATATCCACCAACACACAAGAATCCCAATTATAGGGACCCACAAATAGGGACCCAAAACCCGCATGTAGGGTAGCCAAAAAGAAACTTGATCTTGACAACCTTCCGCCTCCGAAGTAGAGCGCTTGCAGGTCCTCTGGCAACTTGATAGCAGAAGAACCATGGTCATAATGATGATTTCATATAGCAATCATACTAGGACTGAGAAGAATGCTACGTATTGTGAGAAGAGGAGTAGCCGTTTGAGAAGCAAACCTAGCAGCAGCAGGAGTAGTAGCAGCAGTAGTGGTAATGATAGGGCTAGTGGTAGTCATAGTGGTAGTGGTAG